TCATTTGTACTGTGAAATGAAGCAAGCAAGAGAAATGAAGAGATCTGGGTAATATGCAGCCAAAATAACCAGTGAGTTCAGCAGTCAGTTTCAGTGTCCTGACACTAATTCTTAAAGATGCTTTCTTAATTGTTATAAATTAACTATTCCATGGTTATTTAACTTGTCTTTAAAACAAAAGCATACTGAATTTACCTTAAAGCCCTTGGCAAATATTTAGATGGAGTTTTTGATGGTGAAAAATAAAACTAACACAAAAACTGTGTCTTTCTTTTGCAGGTAATCAGCCAATCAAGAGCTAGGTTTAACCCAAGTATCAGCATGATTAAGAAGTGTATTGAAGTTCTGATAGACAAACAGTACATAGAGCGAAGCCAGGCCTCAGCAGACGAATACAGTTATGTAGCATGATGTTGCTATCCTGCAGGTATGATTGTAAGGAGATCATTGCTGTCACTGTTTGGTGTGTTCCTGTGGGAAGAGGCAGGCCTGTGCCTCCATAATTGGTCACTTGGCAGCCCCTGTTTTTCTGCTGTTTACAACATCACCAGTGCCATGTCATGAGCGTCAATGAAAATGCCTATAGATATTTCAAGCTCATGTCATTATGACATTTCTTAAAACTTTACTAAAAGAATGAGTGAAGTATTGCTGAAATGTGGAGAATTGGTTGGGTACCATGCTTTTTTTTTTTTTCCTCCCTCCCCTTTCACGTTTGCAGTTGATGTTTTTTAATGTATCTTAAGACGAAGTAAAAAAAAATCACACAAAAACCCTAAATATTGTAATATGACAGATAACCTAATAATTGTATCTACATTAAAATGTAAAAAAAAAAATGACGAACATGATACTGCTGCTTGTCAAATAAAAAAATAAAGTTATATAATGTGTCTCGAATGATTGTAGAGCTGGATATAGCATTAATGTCTGTAAATATTATTCAGGCCTGAAGAGTAAAAATAATGTTATGTGTTTGGGTTTTGAATAACCTCAGAAGTAGATCTGACGTAAGAACTAATTTATATAAAACTGAATACCAGGTATGTCATGTTTGATGTGATTATAAAAAAATATTTATGGTTAAGTGCACATCTTGTTTTCTTGAGATTAGGCTGATTTACATTCTTAGTGCCTGAAGGCCTACTCTGTGTCTGTTAATCTCTCACTGTAGGAATACGTTACAAGAGAAAATAAACTGACATTTGAGGGGATTTAATAGCGTAGTTCACAGTTAAGAATAGTTATCACAAACATCAAAGATATATTTCAGTGGCTTGTGAAACCACCTTCTTAATGGGAAAACATATACCAGACTGGTAATTGAAAAATGTTTTTTCACTAATATACTGGGTAGAAACACTACATGGATTGGTACCTGTGTTTGTTTCCACATAAGCCCGTGCTGCTTGTTTTTTGTTTTCCCTCTTGACTCATATGGTTGTTTTTATCATGTTTTGTTTTCCTCTACCCCAATTAGATTTCCAGCTATTTGGGCGGGGCAAGGGATCCACGGGCTATTTCATGTCCTTTGTTGTTCGTCAGGGTTGGCATGGTGACTGTTCACTCTCACATAAGCCAAGTGTAATTTTAAAAGGTACTAACTCTACCACTGGAAGTAACTGGAGTTCAAGAGCATTGAGAGTTTGAACACACTGACTCCCTGCTGCAGAAAAGAGCTTCCTCGTGGCTATGCTTGTAATTATGATTGATAAGATAAATAAGTTAACTTTAAATGTTCTATTTTTGCCAAATTTTATTTGTGTGCATATGAAAATATATATGTAGATAAATACTATTTGCAATATTTTTTTAGATTGTGTGATGACACCTACTAAAAGTCCACAGATTAAGAAGTAATTTTAGAGGAAAAAATCATTTGGAGGGAGCTTTTTCCTTCTTTTTTCTTTTTCTAGTTCTTCACTGTATGAAAGGTTTCTATCTAACTCAGATTATTGCTGTCTCTTATTTCTTAAATGGCGTTGCATTCATATGTTATCTGGAGGATATAGGAAACTTTCTATAGTTAACTAAGAAATGCATCAAGAAGTGGTACTATGTTTTTCTGATGTGGATTTTGCTGAGGATGAATAAAGGGCAATAAACAATGAAGGTCAGTAAACATTTCTTCCATATTTATGGTATTTTATCCCACTACGCTAAGATACAGGTTTTTTTACATGGATTTATGTCTTAAAGAAGTGAGGTTTTTTAACTGATTATAATATGGTGCAGTAAGTCATTTTCTCAAGTGTTAGCTTAGAGTTGTCTCTGTGTTGGGAGACAGCAAAGGTGCTCATAGTGTCACCAAATGTAGTAAACAGGAGACACATTAGCACAGATTTTGACTGCAGTGACTTTTAATCTATTTCAGTGTGAAGCAAGCATATTTGTGCTTTATAAAAAAGTAATTCATTACTTATGACAAAAATAAGGGCATATTCTATGATGCAATACAAAAAAGAGAAAAAATATTGCCTGAAAGTTGAATCATCAGGTCATTTCTCCAGAAAACGAACAGTGACAACCAAAGCTTCTGGAAACAAATGTGTTTTGTCTTGTAACTTCTGTATGAGTCAACAGATTTTAAGCTTGTTTCTTCATAAAAGGGTTAATAAAAGCTTTATTTAAATATAGATTGCAGTAGCAGAATGTTAAGGCTGATTTTGAAAAAGGCTTGACAAATTTATTTTCAGAATCATTTCAGAGACAACACAAGAGCTTCACTGCTCTAGCCCAAACGTGCAAGGTTTTAGCATTACCTTATCTCTGAATTTTTGCATCGCTAAACCATCGAAAGTAGTATTTTGGGTTTCAGATAAGCATGCTGCTGAGTTGAGACATGTTTAGCGAGTTAAAAACATTCATATATTTCAGTGCAGTTGGCATCTCCAGACAGTGTCTTTCATAATTACACAAAAACTTGGTCTTTTTAGTGCCTCTTGGGAAATGTGGCTATAGCTGGGAAACGTTTTGAATTCTGCTTTATAAGTCACACCTTCTCCCTAAGGAAAAAATTAGTGCAAAGTTTCAGACCTCTAGCTGGGTTTCGTGACTGAAATCATTGCTGGCACACAGGGATGCAGTTTATGGTGTAGTGCTTCAGCCTGGCAACCAATACCTCTGGCAAGTGTCAGTTCAAAATAGAAAGTGCTAAAGGGTATTGACAGGAGAGGCAAGTTGTAAAAAGAGAAAGATATCCAAAAATGATGTACAGTTTTAATTTTTCACTAGAAGAAACAGGTGTAATTGTACAGCTTTTTTGTTTGTCATGAGTCTATTGACAACTGTGACCTGCTAGTTTATAAGAAGTCATACAGCTGACTCTTGAAACATAATGATTTCATACATCTGATATCAAAATACATTTTACCCCCAGTATTGAGTGTTATTGATCATTCTTACTAAGCTAATTGAAAATGTATTTCTATGTTGTTTTAATTTGTCTTAGATTGATTGTCTTATTCTAGGAAAGAAAAGTGTGTACCTGCATTTCAGTGTGTTCATACGCACGGGGCTGCTGGAGCTGTGAAAGGTACTTAAATCATCATAACATAAACTGTTTGCAAAGCAGAGAGTATCATTGCTTTCTAAGAAATATTTCAAGGAGTACATCACTTTTCCAAGTAAGAAGTAGAGTACAGAAATTGATCAACAGAGAAATACATTTTATAAGCTAATAATTTTCCACTATGCTTTGAAAATCATTCTTATCCTTAAAAAAGTTAATTTTAAAAACAAATGTTGCAACATAGTATTGATCCTTGAGCATAAATTCTTTGTAACCTGGGACAAATATGTTAAGATTGTCTATGCCCTACAACTGTGGTAAGTACTTGGAGTTAATTAATCTGAGATATCACAGTGTATGAAAGCATACTCTCCAGAATAAGTTGCTCTTTCACTGAGTATTTTCTCTTATTACAAATCTGAAATTATCTTTACCTGCTCATGGTAAGTTGTACTGCACTCCCGAGCTGATACAAAACCAGCATTTTTCAAAGTTGTCAGGCAAAAGAAGAGGAAGGATCCAAACAGTGTTTGGGTATAATAATTTTAAAATAATGCAAGATTTGATAAACGTATGTGTGTGTGGTTTTAAAGAGGAGGTTGAATAAATGTGATGGTAAAAGTAACCAGACGTGTAGCTTGGATGTGCATTTCTTATTGTCTCCATTCCGTGGAATTCACAGTTGCATCAGTAAGGGAAGAAGATAATACACAGCAAAAGTAAAGAGGTAGCTGAGGAGGGTGACTAGTTGGCCTCCTTTTTTGAAGTACTGGAGTTGCGCTTTTGTGTTCTTTATCTTTAAATACTTAAACATGCATATGTTAATGAGCAGGATTACTGTTTAGTTCAGTATTGATGATCACTTGTCACGTGTTTGAGGAAGAACCTTGTCAGAGCACTCAGAGAAGCTGTGAATCTGACACAATCATCTATTGCTGCTGCTCCCACCAGCTGTCCCAGGAGCACAGCACTTGAAAGTTCCCTTAGTCTCCCCAGTAAGCCCAGCCTTGCATCTGAGAAGTGAAGGACTTAGCCTCAGAAGTAGTACGAAGCAAGTCAAAACTGTTCTAATAGTTTTGGAATTGCTTCCACCATTCATTTCTACACTCTCTTTGGGGCCCCTATGAGTGGGGACCCTATGAGTGGTGATTTAAGCAGAACTGGAATACTTGTTTGGTTGCTTTGGCTGGGGTAACAAATGGCTGGCACTAACACCGTAGTTCCCCCTCAGCTGGGGAAGTTGATGGCAGTGTGCATTACTTGTCTATTACAATGTCAAGTTCAAACTTTACACTTGAACCACTGGCAAACTTGGTGTATGGGAACCCTTTCTAGGGCTTCTGGACTAGCAGGAAATCTCTTGTATTTCATACTGAGGAGGACTAGTCTAGCTTTGTGTGTCCTTCCTTCCGCTCTTCCACTGAGATAAAATCATACATTGGTGTTCTGTAACTTTTGCTCTTCTAACTTCTGGTGTAGTGTTGTATACCAGAAAATCATGTATTTTAGGACTACAGAAAGTAATGTAGGATGGACAAAACACTTTCCAATGTCTGTATAGCCAAGGCATTGTTTTTTTCAGTCTGACTCTTATCCAACCAAACACTTGATATATTGGTGTTTACATGAGCAATGGATACTTAAGGAGATTGTTAGGCATGTTCTCATCTGAAAGAGGCAATAACATAATCATTGAATGCAAACACTGTATTTATCACCTTTTGGTGGGAGCTGGCTGGTTCTCATGTGTGTTGTCAAACTGGGTTTTTCCAGCAGCTGAGAACAGTGGCCATGTAACTGTGAAGTTAGTAAAGATGAGTGATTTGAGGGCAGTCTTGAATCTTGGCAAGTCTTTGTTGCCTGTCTTTTAGTGTTGGTGATATAATCTATAACTTACTAGGTACGTAGGATAACAAGTTTAGTACTTCCCTGGTAGTTTTTCACATTATATTGAACAGTTTCAGTTGAGTTTCATAAGATGTACTTGGTCTGATTTCTTAAAAACCCTACACATGGATCCATTTTCCTTTCTTCTTTCCAACCACTGGCTTAATAGAATTCATGGTCATCAAAAGTTAGAGTTTGAGAGAATAAAAAAATATGTCTGAAACTCATGATACTGTGAAGTCACCTATAGATTTGAAGCCAGTTCGTGTTTTATGGGATTTGTTTTAAGCAGTGCCAGGTGTTTGATTCCCTCAGAGCGATGACATATATGGAGTGAGGTGCTGCGTACAGCTCATCATGAGGAAACTGTCAGTGGAAGGGTGTGGATGATCTGCTGACACTTACGCTTTGGAAGTTGATGTAGAGCACAGAATGTAGCGCATCATTTTAGAGAGAGGCTGCAAGCAGTGATGCCAGTAGGCATTCAAGAAGCAGGAGGCCTGGCCTTTTTGAGTCTGTCTTCATTCTTTCCTTGACCAGAAGAATGCCCTAGTCTTACCCAATAAGGCAAGAAAGACCTGTTACCTGTCTTGGATGTGTACAAACTTAAACTTCCTTAAAGGTAAATCAGATCAAAAAGTGTGAGCTCTTACATGCTTCCCAAGGCTCTTTATGTATTTTTCATTGCA